ATTCCTTGCTTCCACCTAAAAGATAATGCTACATTTCCTGTTTTCTAGTCTCTGAATTCTGTGTTTTTATTTTTTCCCATAATCACAGAAAAATGCTGAGTGAAGAGTTTCTTTTCCTTTATCATATGATTTGTTTCTGTTCCTATTTTCCTTCTGTTATCTAGGTTGCTGATGGGAAGTTACTCAACTGTTAAAATGAGCCTATCACAGGTGTCATAGTAAAATGTTTATTTCCCTTTTCAGTCCTCCAGTAAGGTGCAACCTTGATTAACAAATGTCCTGGCCATCTCCTTCTTGGGAATTCAAGCACATTAAAAGAATGTATCTTCATGACTCATGCGGGAGAGCTATATCATTGTACGACATCCGTAGATTCCACCCAAATTAGTGTTTAAACCCAAGGGTGGGAAAAATGTGGAAGCCTGTGGGCTCTTCTTCAGCCCAGCCAGGGTTTCCTCTGTCAGTATACCTTCCTGTCTTCATGGTGAGTGCTTCCTCTCCCTACAAGTGAAGTGCTATCTCTCCTTTTATGTCTGTTGCCCTTCCCAAACAGAACCTGTTGGTCGTTTTTGCTTATTGTTTGAAATGTTATCTCCACCATGCCTTTTCATTTAAAATTGCTGATATCTAGTTATGAAAAGAACATCATTTTCCTAGTTTATGAAATTTTAGGCATCATTGAATGAAGGGTGAGACATGAAAGAAGGAGGAAGGAAATGTACACGTAGTTACCCAATATGCCTGAAATTGTAGCTGACAAAATCTGCCATGATAGCCTAAATGGAGAGCCCAAGAAGGAAGACACTAATACGGACAGCTGGCTCAGGCCCCTTCTATCCCAACTTCTCCCTCATTATTTTTCTTATTTCTGCCAACTCATTCATTTTCCTGCCTCAGGTGTGGAAAAATTTTTCTTGTTGTCAGAGGTTTGTTGAAATAAAATTGGTGTTTTGAAGGAACAACTTTTGCTGGGGAGCTAAGGCAAGGTGGGACTCACAAAGTGCTAAAGTGAGCAAGTCTGCAGGGTTTGGATTTGTGACGCCAGTGTTTACAAAGTAGACAGGGAAGAGGGACCCCTCTTGCCTAAGGGCCAGTCTGGCTGCCCGGTCAGGATTGTAGGGGCTGTTGGTGCCTTGAGGGGATCTGTGGGCTCTAGGACACCGTTTCTCAAAGAGCTGCTAGTGGGCTACCTATGTCTCCTAGGTGCTGCTTATGAGGGCATCACAGAGACTAAGTGGGAACACATAAGAGTGGGGCCTGGAAATCTGCATTTTAACCAATTCTCCATGATTCTTATTCTCCTAAACTTGAAGAGCAACTGCTAAAGGGTCTGGTGCTCAGTTTTCCAGCTTCCTAAGTTATTTATTTGTGCGTATCCAGAGGTATTTAGGATTAGGTGACTGACTCACTCTAATCATATATGTAAGAAACTGAAGCATAAATCAGAATACCAGTCTGAACTTTGACCTCTAGTAGTGTGGGAGGTAGAACTGCTCATAGTTCTCTAAGCACACTATGGGAGTCCCTGGGTGGTGCAAACAGTTAAGCACTTGGCTACTAACTGAAAGGTTGTCTGTTCACACCCACCCAGAGACGCCTCGGAAGAAAGTCCTGGTGATCTGCTTCTGAAAAGTCAGAGACTTCAAAACCCTATGGAACACAGTTCTACTCTGCTCGCATGGGGTTGCCATGAGTCAGAATGGACTTGATGGCAATCATTTTGATTTTTTTAAAGCATACTGTAATGTTCTTTGACTCTTGCTTAGCCTTTGCGTATGTTATTCTGTGTGTAGTGCTCTTCTTCTTTCATCCTCAATCCCGTTTCCCCTCCCCCAAAAAGTATGAAAAATTCTGTGAGCAGCCATCTAAGATACTCCACTGGCCCCATCCTATCTGGAGAAGGGATAATGAAGAAAACCAAAGACACAAGGGGAGGCTAGTCCAAAGGACTAATAGACAACTACCATAGCCTTGACCAGACTGAGTTCAGCACAACTAGATGGTGTCCGGCTACCACCACCGACTGCTCTGACAGGGATCACAATAGGGGAACCTAGACAGAGCTGGAAAAAAATGTAGAACAAAATTCTAACTCATAAAAAATGACCAGACTTACTGGCCTGACAGAGACTGGAGAAACCCTGAGAGTATGGCCCCCGGACACCCTTTTAACACAGTACTGAAGTCACTTCTAAGGTTCACCCTTCAGCCAAAGATTAGACAGGCGCATAAAACAAAATGAAACTAAATGGGCACACCAGCCCAGGGGCAGGGACAAGAAGGCAGGAGGGGACAGGAAAGCTGATAATAGAGAACCCAAAGTCGAGAAGGGGAGAGTGTTGACATGTCGTGAGGTTGGCAACCAATGTCATAAAACAATATGTGTATTAATCGTTTAATGAGAAACTAATTGCTCTGTAAACCTTCATCTAAAGCACAATAAAAAAAAGTATGAAAAATTCATTTTTATCTTTTAAACAGGAACCAGCTGTCAACCTGCCCCGGAAAGTTTCCCATAGCTCCAACCCCCCAACCCAACCCCAGGAACCTCCTCTGGGTCATAGCTATACCTTGTACAAACCTAGGTCATTGCCCTTAATGTCCCCTTGTAATTTACTTGCTTATGCATGTATCTCTTCTATTAGGTGCAGAATTTAATTGTCCTTATAAAATCAAGCCCAGTGGAGTGCCTGACCAGGAGTTACTGCTCCGTAAATGATTGTCAAATAAATGGATGAGCTAAAAGATCTTGTGAGGCTGCTTGACGCACATTCACCTCTGTTTTCATCACGTCTGCCCTAAGGAATGGCTGGACTTGTTTTTGTGTAAAATTAAATGTGTTTATATTAAACTCGTCTTCCTGTGATCCTTACAAAAATATGTATTGAGAACAAAATAAATAGGATAGGGAGAAAATTAAGATGCTTTGGTGATCTAAATACTTGTGAAGTACATTTTTTGAATGCCATAAAATGCTTTAAAAAGCTCAAAGAAAATTTAAGAGGGGATCTACTGGATTTTAGCTAAGTGATGAAAAAAAGTTTCCTTAATTCCCTGTCCAAATACTTCAACTTAAATTTACTGGTAGTTATTTGAGACGAAAATGTGAACTCTGCAATCATTAGTTTGTTATAAAGAAAATGTTTTCGTCTTCAAATGTTTAGAGGAAGGATTAAAGGCAATTTATGGTTTGGGTAGAGTGTAATAAAAGGAGTAACAATGGAAACCGAAACCAAACCAAACCTGTTGCCGTCAAGTCGATTCCGACTCATAGAGACCCTGTAGCACAGAGTACAAGTACCCCATAGGATGTCCAAGGCTATAATCTTTACAGCCAACTGCCACATCTTTCTCCCATTAAGTGGCTGGTGGGTTCAAACTGCTGACCTTTCGGTTAGCAGCTGAGTGCTTAACCACTGCACCACCAGGGCTTCTTAATAGCAATGGAGCATCTTCTAAATTGTCCTCAATTTCTGGAATTAATATTAACTCCAACAGGCATTTTATGTCCAAGAAAAATTACTTTCATTTGTCATGTTACAATGTAAACTATATCATCAATCTTGTAGCTGCTGTACAGGATTGTTTATTCATTCAATTGTTCATTCAGTTGTACATGAGATGAATTCTACCATTAGGTCTTTTGCTACAAGGTTCAAGAAGTATATTTACATTAATTTCTTGCAGGAAATTAGGCTTCCAGATCTACATAAAAGGTCTGTTATTAATATCAAGTCGCAGCTTTTTGGTTTCCCCAGAAATACTTCATTTTTAACTCCCAAGGAAAATCACAATAATAAAAAATAAATCAACCTGATAGGTTATTTTCCTTCTTGTAACACCCCTTTTTATTAACCGAATCCCAGTTCATAGATTTTTTACTGCTTGTTTAATTCAAACAATCATAACTTTTTTATAGTATTTTATAATTTATGAAGAACTTTTAAAATAAAAAATTACCTAATCTTTGCAACAACTCTGTGTAGTAATAAGAGTAATACTTCTGTTTATCACTGAGCCCTTTTGTGGTTCGAGGGACTCTTGAGATGCAATTGGTGTTTAGGACATTAAACCTAAAAAACCAAACCCATTCCCATTGAGTCAATTCCTACTCACAGTGACCCTATAGAACAAAGTAGAACTGCCCCATAGAGTTTCCAAGGAGTGGCTGGTGGATTCGAACTGCCAACCTTTTGGTTAGCCTCCAATTTCTTAACCATTGCACCACCAGGACTCCCATTAGGACATTACCCAGTATCAAAGAGCAGAGCCAGACTCAATGCAAGACTTATCTCCAGCAGCCATTTATGTCCAAAAAGCATTACTTGCCAAAAAGACTTATCTCCAAAGAGCATTCTGTTTTCACTCTACCTCTGGTAAATTCAGTACTATTTTCCCCAGAGTATATGTTTAAAAAGCAATCCTGAAAGTTTTTAAATATTGTTATTATTATTCAATCTTTATTTTCTGTTATAAATTAAATAATAATTGGTTACCATGCTTGATGAAGTTCAGTTTTTTTAAAAATTGCCTATATATTATTGTAACTGACTTTCATGTGTAAGTATAGTGTATAAAGTGAATCTGAAATAATTTTAAATAAACATATGAATTTTTATATAATACTGCTAAATTATTTTAATTCTTCTGATTTATATAGTAGTACCCTCACCTGAAAATAAAGCATGTTTCTTTACTTTCTTGTATGTAAGACTCCTTAAGAATAGGATGAAATGTGTATACTCCTGCACAAAAATATCCATATTTGTAACTATTTGATTTGATCATCCTTTCATTCCCAGTTAAAAGCTCCAGGGTGAAATAATCTCCAGCTCTAACATTCTGTGATTTTAAAGCAACTGTCAGATAACATTCCTGCGTATTTAGTATTATTTTCTCCAATAATCCATTAAGTTGAGGCCTGCTCACCTGCTATGAGGTAGGTTGAGTGATCTGTCTGGGTTTCTGTGTTTAAATCCATGTGTTTTCTCCCCCGTCAGAGTAAAAGAAGCTGAAGAAGTGTGTAGGCAGAAAAAGGGAAAATCACTTTATAAAATAAAGCCAAGACATGACTCTGGAATTGTAAGTATTTAATTTTTATTAATTTATGATTTTTTTTTTAATTTTTGCTTTTAAGTACTGTTTTCAGATTATATACAATAGCATTTTAATTATTTGCCTATTATGTTTGAATCAGTAGTGAGCTTCTGAGGTCAAAGCAGCCTTTTCCTTATTCCTTAAATCAGGCCCAGAAGGCTAAGGGAACTCAAGGTTCAGTATTCCAAACTTAAGAATTCTGATAAATCTAAGGATATGCATGCGTTGTGGGCATGTGTATATTGCAGGGAGAGGCATTTGTCACTTTCTCCGTGGCACATGGATCACGAGGCAGGGCTGCATTTGAACCCAGAGTGGACAGTATAATTGGATTAGCCCCACTGGGGTCTAAAACTTGATGGGAAATGCCAAGTGTGGTATTGTCCAGGTTTGCCCAGGGTGCTCAGAGCTGCTTCATAGCCATAAATGGCTCTACACGTCGGCTGCTTAATAGCCATCAGCCTGAGTTTAACAAGCTAACCTAAGTTTCCTCCTTGCCCACCTCTTCCTTTAAAACGAAGAGTCAAGTCATGCACTCAGAGAGGGAAGAGTTTGGCTGAAATGACCGGTTTTCTTCCCCATGTAATGTTGTAGATATTTTGCTAAATGTTTTGCATTGATTATCACTTGACACCACAGTGTAAGCAAATGGTGCTGTTTTAAATGAAAAGTTGGGTTTGGCCTTCACATGGAGTGGTTTAAACTTGAATAGTCTAAATGGAAAAGATATTAAGGTAACCCGAATTGGGATATGATTAAATAGCCATATTTGGAGTCTTTGTGGCACGTGGTTAAGAGCTCAGGCTGCTAACCAAAAGGTCAGCAGTTCTACTCTGTCCTATAGGGTCACTATGAGTCGGAATTGACTCGAAGGCAACAGGTTTGGTTGGTTTTATTTAGAAAAAGTTAAGAATTACATCTTCATTTAAAAGCTATTTTCCCTTCATTTTCTCTATATCAAAATAAATTTTATTTAATGGCAAATACTTTGTGGTTTAGTTTATTTTCTACTCTTTTTTGATTAAAGTAGAATTCTAAAAGTATACTGAATGAGGATAAATAAGTATTAGTCTCAATCACGCTATTATAAGAACAGGAGGGAATTGTGGCACCTTCACCATGAAGGGAAGCAGCCAATTTAATTTTTATATTTATGTATATGGAGCCCTGGTGTCACGGTGGTTAAGCACTTGGCTGCCAGCCGGAAGGTCAGCAGTTCAAACCCACTAGCAGGTCCACGGGAGGGAAGACCTGGCAATCTACTTCCATAAAGATTACAGCCTAGGAAACCCTATGGGCAGCTCTGCTCTGTCCTGTAAGGTTGCTGTGAGTTGGAATCGACTCAACAGCACCTGACAACAACACATGCGTAGGACTGAGAATAAGGAAGATGAGTTGGCACTCTTTCACATGGATTAAAAGTTGCATCTTAAAAACTTTATTTTCCTCAAAATATTGGTGGGTCATCTTGGTGAAAATTGTTAAAGATAAAATGGATTCTATGTATGTATATTTTTTTCCATTATATGCTGGTGGATCTGTAGAACCTATTCCCAGAGAATTTGATCCAAATGAAAAGCTCTTCTCTCTAACTACAATTCTTATCTGGTGTGTTTATTTTCAGAAAGCAAAGATAAGCATGAAAACCTGAGCAATGAAAACTAGTCATTTAACCACTTCCACAAAATTCAGCTGACCTGAGGGCGGGAAGGAAACGACATCGTTCTAATCACGTTTCTTCTTGACCTCCTACATAATCTTTGTGTTTTCTAGACAGTTCACTGATTGCTGAATTTTATTGTACATTCATATAAAATGCAAAAGCAGTAGACCAGTGGAGAGTTTTGACACCTTTTCTTTTTGTAAAAGTTTATGGTATTATACCAATAGACCAAAACAGCATGTATAAGAGGCAGTATCTGCATTAATTCTGAACATGCTAAACATTAAACTAAAATTTACTTCTGTGAGAATATTCCTTGTCACAGCAAAACACTTTCCTTTCTACTGACAACCAGTACTCCACATCACTGCATTTCCATTTATGGGTAAAATGTTATTTCTGGTGAATTGTTTGTATTGGTTTCATGTCTACATGTAAATTTTCTATTTTAAAATTTAAGTACCATTTCTATAACATAGTCAACACTTTCCCGACTCTTTGGTTGTTCTCTGTAATGAAATATTTTTGAAATAAGATTATCATCTTTCACTTGAGTCAGATAATTAATAGAAAGAAGCATAGCAAAAGGAAAACCCTTTTCTAATAAATGGTTTAATATAGACAAGAATCAGAGCTTTAAGTTTAATGAGGTTGCTTATCAGAATATGCCCCTTTTGACGCTATAAAGAGCTAATCTGCAGCAGACGTAAATTAAAGGTGTGCCTTTCTATAACTTTTACCATTACCCTTCATAAAGAAAATTTGTCCCAATATTTTGAAAGAATTTAAATAAATTAGGCTCATAAAATTTATGAACATCAGTAATTGTTGGCAAAAAATAATAATAACATTTTTGTATGAATGGACATCTGTATAGAACGTGTAAATTAAATATGCTGTCTGAGTATTTTGACATGATTGAGGTTGGACAGAGGGAGGACAGAAAATGCCCTTGCTCTTTATATGTTATAGCAGGTGATTAAAAGCTGTGAAATGAGGATGTAATGATTTATTATCTGAAAGAACCTAGGAAAGGATTTTATTTTATTTTACTTCGAAAAAAAAAAAAAAAGTAAATCTCTCACTCTTTCTGAGAGTACTTTAAAGTCAGCTCATGATGCATTGTGGTGGTTTTGTCAAGCATTAATAGATTTTTTTTTTAATTCCTTTTAATTATATTTGTTGGGAGTCATGGTTGTGGATAAAGGCAGAGATTATGGCTTTTGTGAACCAACTTTGGAAAGCAACTTAAAAAACAATGTTCTGAGTCATAACCATGTTTGTATTTATGTAAAGTATGGTCACCTACATTTTAATTTGTTGTTTAAGTGCAAAGAAACAGTAGTGGGTTCTTTTGTTTTGTAGTCTTCCTGTCCCCTTCAGTCCTTCCACTATGTATATTACCATTCTTTGATGAAATAATAGAGCATTTAACAAAGATCGCTATGTGCAATACTGTATTTAGTGTTTCTATTTCAATTTTTCTAGAATGTTAATTTATATGAAAATAAAATAAATAATAAAAGATTTGTATGCCTGTTATGCGCATATTGTCTAAGGACACTTGCAAAATTCAACCATCATATTTAACACTGGAGAAAAAAGGGAAAAGTAAGAGTGTCTGTATCTAATTTTTTTTTAAGTTCTTATTTCATACTTAACAATTGTTAGTAGTTAAGTATTTAATAAATGCTTATTTTCAGAGATAAAATAACCATTCTGCTACCTCAAAATATAATTCTAGAAAAGTTGAAGTTGTCCATATGCAATTTTAGGAAATGAGTCTTATCCATTTATGAACACAAAATATTAATATAGGAGAAATTCAGAATTTAGATGGAAAAATTCATTGGATACAGATTAAGTGCTCAAGGGTCGTAAGAAGATGATGAGGCAAAGGAAAGTAATATGTTGCTGAAGGGATGGATAAAGGAAAGGAAATAAAAGAAGGGAAAACAAGCATGATGCTAATGGAGAAGTATGGAAAGATAATTTCTTTGTTTTCATAAATTAGCTTTGCATTTGGGTCCTTTTACATTTTTACAGTATGAACTCTCATCACCACACATTGCTTTAACATCTACTTTGTGTGAAGGCATGGTGCTTAATAACTGCTCATTCTAAAAGAAATCAAACTGAATCTTTTCAAAGAACTTAACAGCAAGTTGGGGAAATGAATGTAAAACAATAATTACAATATTTTAATGTGCAATCCAGAAAGTACAAAAAGCCCAATCTAGAGGGATGAGTAGGAGTTAGGCAAGTGAAGGGAGAGAAGAGAAATCCTAATGGGAATACAGTACACAAAGGCACATAGAGGGCATCATGTCTTTTGGGAGCTGCAATTTAGTTCGATTACATGGAAACATAAAAGAGGAAGAGTGATGAAAGATGGGGCTGGAGATAAAAGAAGGGATTTTGTGGCATGAAACTAATGTAAATCCCTTATATTCTTGGTTCAAGGAGTAAGGGGCATCATAGAGTCATCTATGCCCTTGGCTACTCACAGTAGTAACAGACTAGCAGTGTGAACATCACCTAGAAGCTTGTTCCAAATACAGAATCCTGAAAATTTTTCTAATGGTTGGTGGCAAGCAGGTGATGAGGCATTTCCAAGAGAGGTGGCAACCTGAGGGGGAAAGAAAGGATGGAAAACAGAAATATGAAATAGCCTAGCACATCTGCATATGAATTAGTTCTACATAGGGAGTAGGAGGTTGGGGAGATGGAAGAGTGGGTGATAAGGAAAAATGTAGAATTGGGTTAGATCACTGAATAATAACAAGAAACCTTATGCAGTAGATTATAGAGCCAGTGATTAATTTTAGACTGGTAACATGACCTGTTTTCAGTTTAATAAAGGCCACTCTAGCACCAGAGTGGAGGATAGAGTGAAGGAATATAAGCCTAGGGGCCGGAAGATCTTTAAAGAGACTATTACAACCCAAAGGAAGAGATAGGACTTAAGTAAGATAATAACCAGTAGAGATGGAAACTTGGAGCTGAAGAAAAGAAATGTTAAAGAGGTAAAATATATAAGAGAACTTCTTGGACCTTTATATGTGAAAAATGAGAAAGCAGAATTTAAAAGGATTGTCTGAATTTAAGATGACAGTCTGGCTTCTTGACTAGATAACTTGGCAAAGAGTGGCTCCATTCACCAAAAAAAAAAAGAATAAAAGGGAAATGCTTCCATCAGGTTACTTTTTAGTTGTTAGCACCTCAGAGAAACTTCTCTGAAAAGGCTATCAAGAATAGTAACCCCCAAGTCTTTATTCCTTTACTCTGCTTGTCTTCATAAGTTATGTATTTACTACCTCAGGTAGTTATGTATTTACTAGTGTTTTGTCTGTCTCTTTCACTAAAATGTACGTCCAGAAAGGAAGAGACTTTTCTTTTTTCCCCCAGTACTAAATCTGTAGATTGAAAACAGTAGCTGGAATGTATTTTGCATTCAATAAATATTTGTCGATTTAATGAATAAATAAATAGGAGGAAGAGGAGGAAGAAGTTTGGGTGTAGAAGGAAATGAAGAATCCATAATGTGTGCTGCACATTCACTTCTAATAGTGGTTATTGATTTGGAACTCAGGAGACAGGTACAGTCTGGAAGATTTTACTCTAAGAGCCATCTGCATTCAGGTGGTGGTTGAAATCAATAGGTTGTTAAAATTGGCTGGAGAAGCAGGAGTAGATTAAAAAAGAAAGAAAAAAAAGTAACCGAGGTCAGGTTGAAATCAGTGTTTAAAGAAGAACCAAAAATAGAGGAATCAAAAAAGGAAACTCAGAAAAATTGACCTGGGGATTAAAAGTTGAGAACCACGAAAGAGTAGTGTTGCAAAAGTCAAGGTAAAAGAGCACTTCAGGAAGAAATTCTGCCCTGAAACCTTCCTATTACCCTCCAAACATACTATTGTAAATAATAAATGTGAAATTTACATAATTAATTGAGTTTATTCAATATTCTATTTTAAACTGTGCGTTAGGAAAGCAATGTAGAGAAATAATTACAAACATTAGTTCTGGAATTCATTTTTAGTATGGCTGAGTAAGCCAACAGATTAACCTTCCTGCAGTTATTAACTATAAAATCTGAAAAAAATATAAAAAGCAACCACTTTGAGGTTTGGGAGAGTGAACATAAGTAGATTCTGAGGCAAAGGGAAGAGTTGAACTTGGAAGACAACAATGCATGGGGCACGAAGGCAGGCCTCAGAAATGCTGCTGCACAGGACAGCTAAAATCTCCAAAGCAGCAGTCCTGCTGGCTAGAAGACAGAGTTCAGGGCAACCACAGCTACTGGGAAATAAGGGAGTCCTAGAAAGAGAGCCAGAGAGGGGTGGCCTCAAATTCTGTGTGTAAATTCTTTTCAAATCTCTGGCTGGCCCTTAACTCACACATACACAAGGCAAATTATGAATAGACCAGCCAAAGAAAAAGAGAACTGAACTTCTGCCCAAGAGATTGAGTTTGTAGTTGGACTCCAACAAAGTTAGTGCCTACCAACAAAAATATCAATACTCTTTGAAGGACTATAACAGAATCCACATTCTCCACAAAATAATATCCACAAAGCTCGGGATAAAATATAAAATTCCTCAATGCAAAGAAACAGAAGAATGTGATGCATTCTTGAGAGAAAACATGCAGTATAAGACAACCCCAAGAGGATCCAGATATTGGAATTAGCAAACGAACTCTAAAGTAGACGTTTTTACTATGCTTAATGAGGTGTGTGTGTGTGTGTGTGTGTGTGTGTGTGTGTATACACAAAAGGTGCCCCTTGGAAACTCTATGGGGCTGTTCTACTCTGTCCTATAGGGTTACTATGAGTCAGAATTGACTCGATGGCAATGGGTGAGTTATATATATATGCATATATATATATATATATAGATGCAAGCTTATAATGAATAAAAAGACAAGCTATATCACCAGAGAAAGAAGGACTATAGAAAATGAACCAAATGGAAATTCTAGAACTAATAAACACAGTATCAGGGAAAAAATTCACTAGATGGGCTTAAAAGTAGAATGGAAATAGCAGAGGAAAGCATCAAGAAGTTGAAGATAAATTAATAGAAATAATCCAGTCTGGAAAACATAAAAATTATTCCTAAAAAATAAACAGAGCCTTCTATGCTACAATATGAAAAGAGCTAACACACATATAACTGGAATCCCCAAAAGGTAAGGAGAGAGAAAACAGTGCAAAAAAAAAGAAAAGAAAAGAAAGAAACAATGGCCACAAATTCCTTCAATTGAGGGAAATTTATAAATTTATAGATTCAAAGTCAGCATACTCAAAGCAGAATAACTGCAAAGAAAACTAAGGCTGATTATATAACAGTCCTACTAATGAAAACCAAAAATAAAGAGAAAATTTT